AGGAGGAATAGAGCGGGAAAGAACAAAAATGTACGCCCCTTTATAATTGTGAAACAATATAAAAGACGGAAGAGACGTTTATTGCCTCGACTGCCTTTAATTATATCGTCCAACTATTTATGTTGTCGATTTCTGTTATGCAAGCACTGCAGGCTAACAAATGATCTCTCCGATTACAAATTTAAATCATCTCCTTAATTAACTAAGAATTTATTTGAGCAGTGGTGTTTTACCTGTTTGACACACAGAATGCTCTCTCTCTCTCTTTCTCTCTCGATATGGGGAAAGTGTCAGGTATATTTAGCGGTAAATCATGGACCTCTGGCATTCCTCTCCCTTCTTTTAAATAACTACAGAGAGTTTATAGGATGGGACCAAGATAGTCACCCCAAAATATCCACGTTTGCAAATAAATACCAAGCACATCCGTGACGTGAACACCACAACTAACTAACGAATAATAACCGTTCTTTTTTTTATCGCGAGGACTAGTAATGGCATCTCTAATCCCGGATTAGCGCACGACGAGAAATTTTATCGAGAAGAAAGAAACGGAAAAGAGGATAACGGGTGATGACGCGTTAGCCAAAGGAACAAAAGGTTATCGACACGGGCCGCGCAGCGTAAAAGATTTAATCGGCGATCAACCGAAATCCTCTCCGGCTCAAACGCGGCAGCGATATCCTAACATTTAATGTATTGATCAACCGAGGAGCAATAAATAGAGGCAGAGCGAGGGGTGTCGTGAGCCTGATTAAACTTCATTCTCCGCTAATGGTTTATAAATAGGCATCTTTTTTTTTCTTTGCCTTCCATACGGTCACGACGGACGGACGGGAGAAGTGCTCCTGGAACGAGCGTCCTTCCATTCCGCTGTCCTGCCTCCTCGCCTACACCTCGCCGGCCGACCTCGTCGACATTTTCCGATATTTCCCCGCCGATTTTCCCAACACGCGGCGGCGCCGGCATCGGCGACGTGTTTTCGCAGGAAATTGCGTATCGACACTTTTAATGGCGGCTGTTATTTGACGCTCTTGAATACGGAGATTTCAAACGCCCGATGACGCTGAAATCACGACAATGACGAAAACGATCCGGTTATGCATTAATTAAATCGATCGAACCAAGTGCGCGTATTCGACGGCTCTTAATTTCACTCACTTACGCAATTCTGAAATCAAAACTTTATTATATATATCGTGTAATTGTCGTTTTGCAAATATCTCCTCTCAAGCGATCACGAAGGGATATTTTTTTTTTTATTTCCGCCGTGCAAACTGCAGGCAACTGCTGAAATCACATCACCATGTATGAAACTGAGATTAACCGAATAGAATGCAAATATGCAAATGCAATAATTGCGTCAGGTATCACGCGAAACAAGCTTCAAATGTTGTCCATCTCTCTGCTAAAAATACTATTCTCTTTCGACAAAGCATAAAATTGATACACGCGGCAATTGTGTGCTATATTTTAAAATAAATGTATACTATTTCAAGTTCCCTCGTAAACATATCAATTCAATAAATAAAACATTTTTAATCCAAAGAACTTTAAACAGCGCGTTATTAAAATTGAAAAACTCTCGCCCTCCGGCAATTGCTCTATTTTGCTATTTTAAATATTCATTCTGTTGCTCAATCGCTTATTATTCGAAAGTTAGTATTATTCGTCAGCATTTCCATAATGAACTATGAACTTTGAAATGTCACGGAGCAGTGCACACGTGCATATAGAGATTCTTCTTTTCTGTCCCGCACGCGGGCCCCGCAAATAGCCGTGCATAGGGGCGTAGGTCGGATCGATCGCGGGGTAAAAGTGAAAGGACGCCCCAAGGGGTGGTCGAGAGGGCTATGAAATCGTGCATCAAGTCGGCCGATTCGAGAGAGAGAGAGGGAGAAAGAGAAAGATGAGAGAGAGAGAGAGAGAGAATCGTTTGTTAGAAAAGAAACGGGGCGCCAAAATCGAGACTTGTCCCGGAAGACCGATCCGTATCGTGTTGGAGATAGAACGGACATTTCATTCCCCAGATATGAAACCGAGATATGTCTCTTCTAGCCAGATCAAACAGGGAGACAATTTTACTTTTCCACATTCAATTCCTAGTTGTCCGAAGTACTTAATATTTAATACAAGCTATTTTATTAGTAAACGTCTTTTTTTATCAGTAAACATCTGATACTAATAAAAGTTACTTGTACCTCTATTTTCCCCTACATTTCTGAGGGGAAAATTGTATGTCGCGTGTAAAAATACTCGATCAAATTTAAAAAAGCATTTAAAGATTCGAAAAATGTAAAACAAACTACTATTTAAGAAATTATATATTTAATATATACATAAAATACGCAGTTCTCAATTTGAAAATAAATACCCTTGTCACGCATACCGAGTGATAAAGAATGTTAAAAGATCTGAAAGAATAGAGAAATTCTCTTCACGTTGGAGTATTAATTTACACATACACACTTTACGTGTCCACCTCGTATAACTAAACGTGTTCAAATAAAAAAGACATTGCGTTAACGTGACTAGCCAAAAGATGGAATATAATATTTTTTGCCGCGTCATTTTTTTTCACCTTTTCACTCTTACCTTTGTTTCGCTGTTACATATTTAATTTTACTACGCGGCAAAAAGTGTATAATTAAGATAATTACTATCGGAGTCCCAATTAAATCCTATAGTTAAATTAGTGACCGACGGTTATTCCCAGAAAGTCTATCGAATTAACATTATTTATAATATCGTGAAATTTATATGGGGGGGATTGGCACGTAAAAGATGAGGGCAAAATTCTGGATTTTCTCGCGAGAGATCGTGCGCGGTTCGTACCTTCGCGACAATCTGGTGGATCTCGGCGACGGATGATGGCTTATGCCTCGACTGCGTCATTTCAGTGGATTCGATTTCGCCGGTAAATCCAAGCAAATGATATCGAGACACAAGGGAAATGGATGAAAATGTTATATCAAACAAGAGGGAAAAACGTTCGCTCCGACGGTCAAACAAATTCGCAACCTAAACATAGTGAGTGAGTCGTCCCGCGTCATCCCGCGTTTATTTCGTGTATATAGGTCAACGTGCAGCGTTGCAAAGCGCATTTAAAGCGCGTTTTTAAGAGGAGGTAAATGACAGGACATAATCATCGTACACATTTGATAGATTTGAATGACAAACCAACGCAGCGCCGACATAACGTGTACGTTTCAACACAAACTTCTTTTTCAATGTTTCTTCTGTAATTAGCAATTTAAGAAAGCAACAAGATCGGAAAGTTAAAAAACACATTATTTATCGTTAAAAGACAATGTTTTTTTTAAATTGAAATAAATCTGATAGACTGAACAAAACAGTTGGATTAATAAACATATATGGAGCTTTTAATTTCATATTACAATCCGAATGTATATTAGAGTTGATAGATATGCCATTATTAAATATATTTTATGTATATAAAATACATAACCAATTCACTCGATACTAATTTATTCAGCACTATCGGTGACAACGTTAAAACTTTTTTCTCGACATAATTTGTACTTCATATAATTTTAGATGATATTTATGTGTATAATGAATATATCTCCTAAAATTAATATTCCCATTTCATCGTCATCTAAAATGTATATTTTGCTGCTGAAATGATACTTCGCTTTGATGAGCTTTCAAAAGAGCTATGCGGCTACCACTTTCAAATCGGAAGTGATTGCGAGCTGTGCCCATTGTACACTGCATAACCGGGTCAACTCCGTGATTTTTGGCATATAGATGGATATAATCCGTTTAGCCATTTGGTCGATATGAGAGGAACACACATACTTTCCAATCTTCGCATTGTAGGGATCCAAAACGATATCTGCGACCGTTCCGAAAATATTCGCCCATTATATTTCTCACAAAGTTCACGTATATTCAAATATAATTAAGGTAAGTGCCAAACCACGGTACGTATATTATTCTCATGAAAAATTTATACTATGCGCGTTCTATCTGGACTATGTCATAATTATATTTGTGTCTTTGGAATCTATTTCATAATATAATAAAAATGAAAAAGGGGGAGATTTCTAAATGAAACATTGATAAATTTGTTTACAAATGTAGAAATTAAAATGTAGATCATATAACATCAAGTTATTGTTTTTTTAAGCGTAATTTTTAGCTCAAAGAAGAATAATGTGTAATGTTGCGCTAAATTTGATAAACTTTAGTAACAGAGCAAGATGTTGGTAGCCCAATAATTGTAATCTAAAATGTGAATTCATGTACCGTCGACTTACGTGAATTTACTGACGACAATGACTCCATCTAAATAAAACTGTGTTATGTCTGAAAAGAAACCGGCGCGCAGGACAAGGTGGAAAACGGTATATAAATTCACATTTTAGATTACAATTATTGGGCTACCAATTTGAGTTGCTGTTAAGCAAAGCCTGTGTCACTCTAGACAGTTGTCATCGCTAACGGCCGATAGAGTGACACAGGCTTTGCTTAACAGTAACTCAAATTGGTGCCCAATGGCATTTAACCACATGCTATGCGTCGTTTGAATTAGTCGGAGTGCACTTGATAAGGGCGAAAACCCATGGCTGAAACGTTGTGCTAATAAAGGAGGTTTTCCTGTTGCCAGTGGTGTCGAATCATTCACCCTTCACCTTAGCTATATTTGTTTAATAACAGAAATAAGAAAACAGATGATGAAATGTAAGAGGAAAATATAACAGATGTCGCCAATTTCTAAAAGTATACGGTATATTTTTGTTATTATAACAAAGGAATAAATGTCAATAGCAAATCATACTCTGAAACCTTCATTTGCAAAAACAAATAACTTAACCCTAATTATAATTTTCTTCACGTCAAAACGAGATGAATTAACGCTTTCTTTCTGGATTACTAATAATTACTCAACGAATTAAAAATTCATTATTCGCGAATGGCGTTTGCAGGAAAGTTTCATTAAGTGATTTCCTTTGATGAGATGGACGCTCGTGGCTATGGTGGGGCAAGGATTTCCCGGCGCAACTCTTATTGGGCAGATTCTAAGCCAAATCACGCAGCCAGTGTCAAAGGCGATAGTGAAGCGTGTGAAGAAACGGCCGCTCTTAAGAAAATATGTTCTGATTCAACTGGGACGTTTCTATTATTGGTGTGAGAACATGATAAAGTGGCAAGAGACTCCGGTCGTAGTGAAAAAAAGACCCGTTGACGACGATCACACAACGGAACTAGGCACGAAATTACTACTCGAGGTAACGATAGCAATTATGAAACCGACACGCGTTATTACTGGAGCGCTAATTTCGTTTTTACGATTGAGCTTCGCAAAGTAAAACGAGTACCCCTTCAACCCTTCAGGCATTAGTCTTCGGGCTTTTGTGCAGCGTGCTCGTATACGAGACGCGGAAGACTGCAGAGAGATCGCGCGTCGCCGAGCAGCTGAGAATTCAGGAGCTCAACGACTTAGAGATGGAGAAGGATCGGCTGATGCGGAGAGTCGAGGATCAAGTGATCTTGACGAAACGGCTCAAAGACATCACCGTGGAGTATTCGAGAAAAGTCGGGTGTACGTTACCGAGTGAGCCTGAGGAGGAGAAAGGCGAATAGAATGCTTCGCTTGATTTGAGGCAGACGCAGGGATTGCGAAAAGTTAGTCGTAGAAGAATTTTTAAAGGACATCGTTAAAATATCGCATTTACGTGCGGCGAATTGCGGAGAGGATCTCTCTCTCTCTCTCCCCCTTCACCCCTGACGTCGTCACGGTTTCATCCCGGATAGAATTCGCCGCCTTACGCTCTCGGTGAACCGCAAACTGACGAGCGGTCCTCGCGGAGCGCGGACCACCCGCCAGCAACGCCGACAGTTCGAACTTTGCGCGAACAGTCTTCCGTTCTTGCCCGTCTGTCGTTCCAGTTGACATTAGCATTCGTTAGCATAATAAATGTTACTTCTGAACCGCGCGCGTCTTCGTCACGTGTCCGACTCGCTGAGATGGATTTCACAGCGTACGCTTGAGCAAAATTTGACTTTCAGCATCAAAATCGACAACGAAGAAGAGAACGTTGTTAGAGGCAGGACGGAAAATGGGGGAATCACGTTGATTCGACGAGCGAAGAATGGATTGTCTGATTTCGCGTTCGCATCATGGAACAGTGGATAATAATTCGGCGGGGTCTACATTCAAATGGTTCAGATTCCGAGGAGTGAAGAACGATGGCATACCCGAGCAGAAATTTTAGTAGGGTCTTGGTAGGGGTATAATAAGGATACCTTAATGCCTGATCAGGCACCCATCAGGCGGCCCTGATAGGGCCCTGACCGTAAATGTAACGTCGAGAATTAAAATTGCCTGATGAGGTTTCCCTTACCAAGACCTCGTGACTTGCTTGTTACGCCTTACAATTTTTAACAGGGGGGTAGTAGAGCATCGGTAGGCCTCCTATTAAAAAATTCAATTCTTTACTCTAATTTTTAAATTGCGTTAAATTATATAGTCATCAAAGTATGTTCAGGTCATTGAAGTTTATCCATGATCCAGACAGCTCACTGTCGGATCGCATATCGGCTCGCCTCTTATACATATAATAATATTAATACGGGAGGATTTTTACTTACGAGAAAGACTAACGCGCGGTCGCCACGTCGCGGCAGTTAGTGGTGCTAGTACTATACATATATTCAGGTTAACGTTCACCAAATCCTATGAGGGAATTAAGCGCACCGGATCAGACACATATCAAGAGTTCCTTATTAGGGCATTCCTTACTTCCTCCCTATCAGGCCCTGACCATACATAAGGCATGCCTGATTT